GTTCCGTCGTCTGCGCGCTGTTTCCGTGCGGGAAAAGCGAGAATGCGCTGTGGACTACAGGTCCGGGCGCGCTGCTCCGGTTCTCCGCGCTCAAGAACCACGGCTGGTTCCGAGGTGGTGTAGCATCCGGACAGAAGCGTGAGTCCAGTTTGGTTTGTTATATGTTGTTCTGAGCGTCCGTCCTCCGCGCATTTGGTTCTTCCCGGGGAAAGCGCTTCCTCAGGTCGAGGCTCCCCGCTCCAGCTCCTCTGAGCCCGGACTGAACCGGAGCTGCCCCCGCTGGTTCGGGACTCTGGTTTGGATCTAGTCCGACTGTATTTCTCACACTAGGCTAAAAAGCAGGGACTTTTTTCAAGTTGTATCAATTGAATGGGCGATTGCCTATTGCCGTAAAAATTATTTGGTTAATTAAAGCCTAAAATAACAAATGTTGGTTGCTGTTGATCACGGGGAAACACCGGGTCGTCTCTGTGCGTGTAGGTCCCGAACAGGGGTGCGCACCCCCAATTTTGACTCACTCTGGAGCCACACGTTCGCACACTGATACTTGCTCTGATCTTCGTGTGTTACATTCTCTGTATTGGCCATTGTTGGTAAAATAATTTGAAAATGAATCGCGTCTGCGTCTGGACAACAATCTGTTACTGCGCTGGAATCGTACAGCGCGTCATTTCAGGCAGAGGAGACGCGTGTCCCTCCCATGATGCATTTGGAATAGTCCGTTTGTCCATACTGTCTATGGTTTGGACCCGGGTTCGCGTTCACACCAGAGGAACCGCACCAAAGTTGGTCATTTGGTGCGGATTCAAGCGAACCGAGACCACCTCTTTTTTGCGGTCTCGGTCCGCTTGATTTGGTTCGGGTCCGAGTCCGATTGACGCTTTCACACCAACGCAAACGAACCGAACTAACCACTTTTGGTTCGAATGGACCGTTTGGTGCGCACCAAATACTGTCGGTGTGAAAACACCCTGCGATGCTGGACTGAACCAGGACTGAACCAGGATTGAACCAGTACTGAACCAGGACTGAACCGTTTTCAGTCCTAGTCTGGTCCCAGACTGATCCCAGTATCAGTCCCGGTCTGGTTCCGGTCTCAGTCCCAGTCTGATACCGATATCAGTCCCGGTCTGGTCCCAGTCTCAGTCTCGATCTGGTCCTGATCTCAGTCCCAGTCTGATCCTGGTATCAGTCCCGGTCTGGTCCCGGTCTCAGTCCCGGTCTCAGTCCCGGTCTCAGTCCTGGTCTGGTCCCAGTCTGATCCCGGTCTCAGTCCCGGTCTGGTCCCGGTCTCAGTCTCGATCTGGTCCTGATCTCAGTCCCAGTCTGATCCTGGTATCAGTCCCGGTCTGGTTCCGGTCTCAGTCCCGGTCTCAGTCCTGGTCTGGTCCCAGTCTGATCCCGGTCTCAGTCCCGGTCTGGTCCCGGTCTCAGTCCCAGTCTGGTCCCGGTCACAGTCTTGGTCTCAGTCCCAGTCTCAGGCCCGGTCTCAATTACGGTTTGGTCCTGTCTGGTCCCGGCCTCAGTCCTGGCCTGGTCCCGGTCTAAGTCCTGGTCTCATTCCCGGTCTGGTTCCTTTCTGGTCCCGGACCTGGTTTAGTCCTGGTTCAGTCCAAAAGTCCAGTTTTGCAGTTTAAGTCACGTAAAAAATGAAACGGTCGTTATTCGTTTTTTCATTTTGGTTTTGTAGACAAATAATGAAGAAATTATTATTTTTTTTTTTTGTTTTCTTATTTTTGGTTTTATTTTGTAAAACGAATGAACGAATGATACACGTATTTTTAATTCTACTGTGGAACATTGAAGCCACAGATGGAGACCAGCAGGACAAGAAGGACCCTCCAGCAGACAGGTTACACAGTGCACCTTTAAATCTGACAATAGTTTCTTTTCAAAACTTTCAGGCTGATGTTTCTAATTTTTGTACTTTCCAAACTCGTCTTCATTACCTCTGCGCTAACTTTTATGTCCTCTCTCTGGGCGCCTGTTTAAACTCCATCCGAAGTCTTTAACCATCGAATTATTAGACCTGTTTCTAGGCAACAGTTTTACCTTTGTGGTTTTATTTTATTACTAATCTAATGCTAATGCACGACGGTGGGCTCCGGTTAAATCTCTGAACGTAATACGATTTAAAAAAAAATTTAAAACTGAAAGAAAAAAGAACGGATAAAGATTTGAAATGAGAGAAAGAACGAGAGACAGACATCAGGTATCCATCCTCTGTTGCCATGGCGACGCTAACTGTACTCTTCGGGATACTGTCTTCAGATGGTCCTCTCCCACGTAATGTTAACAATTATAGCCCCGACAGACCTTATAATATCCTGGTGTGATTGTAAGGGTGTTGCAGAGACAAAAATTTTAGTCTATAACTGATTATGAGGACAATTATGCAAGTTTTTATCGGTCATAATTACCAAAATCCATCATATACACGCTACCATATTGATAGTTTGCGGTGACATAATGTTCGTCCGGGGTATTTAGGAGTTACCGTGGTGTCACAATGCGCTGAAAAACTCAAGAAATACTACAAAATGGACTTTCGGTTTCATGTTTTTATTCATGAGTAAACAGATGTATAGAACTGTCAATCAAACAACACATGTACACACACTTTTTCATTTTTATGCAGACAAAACATAACTTAGAAAACTAACTGACATACACATATTATAAGAGTGTTTTTTTTTGTAAATTTTTTTGTTTTGTTTATTTTTTTCTCCTCGTATTTATTATTATTTAGTTTATTATTTATGTACTATTATTTATCTTTCTTTTCTCTGGAGACAGTGGGGCAGGGGAAAATTATTACATTATTGCACTTTTTTCTTTCTGTGACATCCGCTTTATGTGCACAAAAAGTAATAAAAAACAAACTAACAAAAACAAAACTCAAGAAATACAAGTAGCATCATACAATAATAATAATAATAATAACAATAATTAACTAGTTAAACTGTTTTAGTCCTGTTTTACTGTTTTAGACCTGGGTTTTAGTTTAGACCTGGTTTTAAAACCTGGTGGTTTAAAGTTTGACCTGGTTTAACCTGACCTTTAAATCTGAAATGTTTCTTTTCTCCTGAGTTTCTAATTTTGTACTTTACTGGTTTTAGTCTTGGTTTAAAGAAGTTTATCGAAATTAACCTGTTTCTAGGGTTTTACCTGGTTTTTTTTATGCATAGATGGTTTTACGTTAGTCTGGAGAAATACAGTAATCTGTTCTTTAGTCCTGATAGTTTAGTTCTCCCACGGTTTTAGACCTGGTTGATTTTTTGCAGGACAAAAATTTTAGTCTTACTGATTACAATTATGCTAAGTTTAGTTATCATTAAGCTACCTGGACATAATTTAGTTTTATAGCTGGTTTACTAATTAGAATGATTTCGGTTTCTGTTATTTGAGTAAACAGATGTATAGACTGTTTAGACACACTTTCATTTTATAGACAAAAATACTTTAAACTAACTGATTTTAGTTGTTTTTTTTTGTAAATTTTTGTTTTGTTTATTTTTTTCTCCTCGTATTTATTATTATTTAGTTTATTATTTATGTACTATTATTTATCTTTCTTTTCTCTGGAGACAGTGGGGCAGGGGAAAATTATTACATTATTGCACTTTTTTTCTTTCTGTGACATCCGCTTTATGTGCACAAAAAGTAATAAAAAAACAAACTAACAAAAACAAATCACTCAAGAAATACAAGTAGCATCATACAATATAATAATAATAGAATGATAATAATAAATATACTGCTATTACCATGGTTTAGTCCTGGTTTCTGTTTAGACCTGGTTTGGTTTTTTAGTCCTGGTTTTAGTCCTGTTTTAGACCTGGTTTTAGTTTTTAGACTTTTAGACCTGGTTTAGACCTGGGTTTTAGACCTGGTTGACCTGGTTCCTGGTTTACCTGGTTTAGACCTGGTTTAGACCTGATTTTAATCCTGCTTTTAGATCTGTTTTAGTCTTGGTTTAGACCTGGTTTTAGACCTGGTTTAGATCTGGTTTAGTCCTGGTTTTAGACTGGTTTAGATCTGGTTTAGACCTGGGTTTAGTGGTTTAGACTGGTTTAACCTGGTTTAGACCTGTTTAGACCTGGTTTTAGTCCTGGTTTAGACCTGGTTTAGACCTGGTTTAGTCCTGGTTTTAGACCTGGTTTAGACCTGATTTAGACCTGGTTTAGACCTGGTTTAGTCCTGGTTTTAACCTGCTTTAGACCTGGTTTTAGTCCTGTTTAGACCTGGTTTTAGTCCTGGTTTTAGACCAGGTTTTAGTCCTTGTTTAGACCTGGTTTAGACCTGTTTTTGGTCCTGGTTTTAGACCTGATTTAGACCTGGTTTTAGTCCTTGTTTAGACCTGGTTTTAGTCCATATATAAATCTACTATGATTTTACAGTACAATTTAGTTTAAAATTCATATAAATTGCAAAAATCTGAGATACTTTGGTTTCAAGACTTGAAATGACTTGAAACTCAAAGCAGACGACTTGGGACTTGACTCGGACTTGAGGTCAAAGACTTGAGACTTACTTGAGACAAGTAAAACAACGACTTGGTCCCACCTCACAGTAAGATTCACAGTAAGAATGGAAGTTTTGAAGGTATTTTGAGCAATAAAAACATCAGATAGATAGATAGAGAGTTTAAAGCCATACTGCGGAACATTCCTGGCAAAACAATAACATCACCACAAGAAGGAAGCAGACCCACCACCAGAAAAGTTACATAGTGAAGCTTTAACTAATGTAGATAATGGTTTTAGTAGGGGAACGAGCTGAGAAAAAAAATAGATCCAAAGCTTTATTTTCTGAGGAGTTTTTCTTTCGATCTTTTCCGCTCTGGAGAAAATTCACTTGCTCCCTGTGAAACGTGGCATTAAATATGTATCCGCTGTTTTTTTAATTAGCGCGATTATGAAGTTGAAGCGCAGGGAGAGCTAATGTGTTCTGTGTAAAGTCCTGTGGAGACTTGTGACTTATTGATGTGTCTTTTGCAGCTCTGACGCACGTGAAGCTATGGGCCATCGACCGCCACTGCTTCCAAACCATAATGATGAGAACTGGCCTCATCAAACATAACGAGTACATGGACTTCCTCAAGAGGTACCGCCACAATAAAAGCACTTCAAAAAAAAAAGATCTATGGGTTTAATCTGAAAGGGCATTAGATAGAGTTTGGTCTGCCGTTCAAGTCCTGGTTTAGTTCTGGTTTAGTCCTGGTTTAGTCAAGGTTTCTTTCTGATCTAGTCCTGGTCTAGTCCTGGTTTAGTCCCGGTTTAGTTCTGGTCTAGTTTCGGTTTAATTCCAGATTTAGTCCTGTTTCTGAGTACATGGACTTCCTCAAGAGGTACCTGCCACAATAAAAGCCCTTTTTTAAAATGGGTGTTCTACTGTTCAAGTCCCGGTTTAGTCCCAATTTAGTCCCAGTGTAGTCCTGGTTTAGTCCCTGTTTAGTCCTGGTTTAGTCCTGGTTTCTTTCTGATTATGTGCTGGTCTAGTCCTGGTTTAGTACTGGTATAGTTCTGGTGTAGTTCTGATTATGTCCTGGTTTAGTCCTGGTCTACTTTAAGTTTAGTCCTGGTTTAGTTCCTGGTTTAGTTCCTGGTTTAGTCCTGGTTTAGTCCTGGTCTACTTTAGGTTTAGTCCTGGTTTAATCCTGGTCTACTTTAGGTTTAGTCCTGGTTTAGTTCCTGGTTTAGTCCTGGTTTAGTCCTGGTTTAGTCCTGGTCTACTTTAGGTTTAGTCCTGGTTTAGTCCTGGTCTACTTTAGGTTTAGTCCTGGTTTAGTTCCTGGTTTAGTCCTGGTTTAGTCCTGGTTTAGTCCTGGCCTACTTTAGGTTTAGTCCTGGTTTAGTTCCTGGTTTAGTCCTGGTTTAGTCCTGGTCTACTTTAGGCTTAGTCCTGGTTTAGTGCTGGTCTAGTCCTGGTTTAGTCCTGGTTTAATCCTGGTCTACTTTAGGTTTAGTTCCAGATTTAGTTCTGTTTCCCATAACAAGTACCCGCCACAATAAAAGCACGTTTTTTAAAGATATATGTGTTTAATCTGAAAGTTGTTGTCTCCCATTTAAATCCTGAGCAGGCCCATCCCGTTAACTTGGTTTAGTCCTAGTTTAGTCCTGGTTTAGTCCTGGTTTAATATAGATGTAGTTCCTTGTTTTGTCCTGGTTTAGTCCTGGTTTGGTATAAATTTAGTTCCTGGTTTAGGCCTGGTCTAGTCTAGAATTTGTTTTAGATTTAGTTCCAGTTTAGTCCCGGTTTAGTCCTGGTTTAAATCCTGGTCTAGTCCTGGTTTAGTTCTGGTCTAGTCTAAGTTTAGTTCCAGGTTTAGTCCTATTTCCCATAATGAGTACATTATATTGTGTGCCTGTTGATAAAGACACGATTAAAGATAAACACACCATTAATCTGAAAGGGATAAGATAAATAAAGACTATTCCACCAAGTCACATCATCTGTTACAGTTTGTAGACAGCAGCATTAGTGTAACACCAGAGGAAGCATTTAAAATCAAGTAAATATATCATAATCTTCATTAATTTTGCAGGATGTATGCATTTTTAATCCTTTTATTTTTCACTTGCAGCGTTCCCACTTTCCAAAGCCTCACGGAGGAGACTCTGAGCAAACTGGCTGATGTCATGGAGGAGGTGAGAGAGACGCACCAGGGTTGTCAAAACTATTCAAAATCAGATACCAAATAATATTAAAACTAGAATACAAACGCTATTCCACTTCTGCTCGGAGAAAGCACCGGACACTGATCTTGTCCCCAATCTTTAGCACTGGTGCTGGTGCTAAGGAGTGGGCATGTCCAGGTGGGGCTGTACTTCGCTGCTGGAGGCTGGAGTAGGACGATACAAGTACATATATGGTGACAGCATCTGAACCAATCTGTGACCGCTATGGCTTTTCAAAGCACTGCCAGTGTGGGGAATGTCTGTAATCTTTACCTCATTATCGGGCAGTAAAGCAGCGTGTGGGAAGAGTTATATACATGACAATAAAACAGCTCTGGAACCCCACAATGCAAGTACACACCAGCAGAGGCACCAGGAATATAGAATTTTGTGTGGGCCATGACAGAATTGACTGGGTTTGTGTTACGAACACTCACCGCTGTAAGCCCGTGCACGCGCACACAAATCAACCTTTTATAGTTTTCTCTGCATTCGTTTAAGACGACTGTCTGTCTCATGTGCTTCCCATCCCAGCAGACCCTCTGCTTTCTCGCACCCGCTCCCGTCTGTCTCGGCAGTCCACTACTGCACCTCTCACCTGAGGTTTGAGTGTCCACCGCTGCTCCCGCTGACCGCTCACATTTTCGTCTCTCAGGTCCACTGCATTTGGTCCCACACAGGTGGAAGTCTCGCAGATTATGTTTATTGTCATATAAATGTTTCTGCTGTTACCGCTTTGCGCACAGATATGATACGTGCCTCTGCACTACGGTCACAGCCCTGAGCTGTCAGTAAATGTCAGTGTTCGGCAGCGAGAATGTGAGGAAATTGACATTGCAGCATCGCTGTAAACAGCCTCATGTGAATGAGCAGCTCATAATATATTTCCAAATAAAAAAAGCCTTTAGCATGTTACATGTTGTTCATTGAACTCGTATAATATTTATTTTTATGATTGTGACAATTCACTGAACGCGCCACATCACGCTCTCAGTCTGCTCCACTCCACCTGATATTCAGCCACGACGCACCGACTGTTGAGAACTCCACACCCCACACTTGCACTTGTGCTAAAATCAGGGTAAAGATCTAGCCCCTTACTTTTTCATGAACTTTATGGACTAATTTGAGTGCAGTATCAAGTTTTTCTTTTTAACTATGGTCTGAATGTTTGTGTCTAAAATAAAGAATAAATAAATAAAAATAGAATCAATATTTAGCTACTCAATATTGAAAGAGTCTTAGAATGATCTTGAGCTGTATCAGAACTTGTATAAGACCTCATGGAAACATAAAGAAAGTGCAATTTATTTATTATTTATTTATTATTTGTGACAATACTACAACATACAACACCCGATGGTGACCAATACCAAAGAAAAAAATCCACTGTTTCAGTAAGACAAATATAACAACTTTTCTGGTTGATTACAGACATAAATACCTACACTTTTTTCATATAAATACTAAATTATAGATGCTACTGAGAAAAACAAAGATGATGTATCAGATTTCAGAATTATATAGCATACCCACACCACTTTCTTCAGTTTGTGTGAAGTGTTTTGCCTAAGGACATAACAGCAGTAGTCTCCCATCGAAATACTAACCAAGCCCAGCCTTGCGTAGCGTCTGAAATCTGATGAGCTCAGCCGCTATGGTCACACAGCAACCTTTAAACATTTTTTTCAGAAATTAAATTAATGAATATATATTGACTAAGTAATAAAGAATAAATTGTGTTTTTGTGTGTGTTTTTAGACTCATTATGACGATGGGGAGTTTATAATTCGACAGGGGGCCAGAGGAGACACTTTCTTCATCATCAGTAAAGGAATGGTAAATAACACTCACTGCTGCTTCAGACCTGAGGGATTATACATACTGCTGCTGAAATACTTTTCTAAAATACTCTGTTTTTCACACTTGGATGTCTTTCTGTTCAGGTAAATGTGACTCAGACAGACCCGTCCAGTCAGGAGCCGGTGCTGCTGCGAGAGCTCAGCAGAGGAGACTGGTTTGGGGAGAGAGCGCTGCAGGGGTGAGAGCAAATACACCTCTGGAAATATTTAAATTATACATACAAACTGAGTGAGGCAACTGCACTGCCCACTGAGAGTAAAAGAATCACCGTTAAAGAGGAGATATTATGCAAAATAGACTCTTAGGAGCTTTCTATTTTGATATAATACTGTTCCCTTATTTAAAACAGGCCTGAAGATGCATGTTTGAGAAATATAGTGATCTCTTCTTCCTCTATCTGAACTTTCCTTATGGTTTGATGTAAGATATTTCCAATTTAATGCCCTCAAGCCTATACATCAGGGGTGCCCACACTTTTTCAGCAATGCTAGCTACTTATAAAATGATAAAATGATCCACCTGCTACAAAGACAAGCAAACTGTACGGCACTGAAACACTCTGCGCCCCTTTTTTGGACCCTCACCCACAGTTTGAGAACTCCTTCTTTAAGAGAACTTCCACTGGCACTTTACACAAAACTGTGAAAAAATGAAGAAAGTGGGTAGGATTTTTAAACCTGTTTTTTCAAGTTTCTAACTGGAGTTATATTCTCTTACTGGTTTTGCAGTGGGATTTAGCCTCTGCACGTTTACCAAACCAAATGCACATCGTGACAAACACAGATGCATTTGTGCACTTTTACTAGGCAAACTTAAGCCACATGTCGTGTTAGGCCTGCTCTGTGCTGTAGGCATCTTCTCTGCCAACACTGCAACATAAATTTAGATTCATTTTTGCTTCGTATTTCATCTTGCCCTGATGTGAGGCGGACAGATGGGTAGGATGTTTTAAAAAGTTTAACCTGCGCTGTGATACACGCTGGTACATGGAGGTACATACTGTTGCGGAAAAGGCGCGCGCAAAGAGCATATGTGTGATATGCCGCACATTATCCACAGGTTCTAAATGAGCGGACAGACTGAAGAGAGACCCGCTCCCACACTCCAGTACAAGTTTTTTGCCAACAGCAGTGGCCATAATGAAATACGATCACACTTGTCGAGTGTCAGACCTTAAGTGAGAGACAAGACCGACGACAAACGCGAACGAACCCAAGACGAGTAATATGACACTCTGATCTACCCACACGACCTTTGTGATCGACTGGTAGATCGCGATCGATGTATTGAGCACCCCACTATACATCATCCATGCTCCCACACAAAAATTCTCCATAAATATACAAAAGCATGACATAAAATAAGACACAACTTCACAAACCTGACGCGATGTGCAGTGGTTGGTTTAGCAGAATGCACACTGATTGAAATGATAGTGAAGGGGACATGGCTTTTGATTCCTCGGCTTGAAATCGGTTGCTGCAACTGACCTGCAGACGTATGATCTCTGAAAAGTTTAACATGAACCATCTCCAACGTGACAGAAGCACAGAACAGACTCACCATCAGCAGAACACCCCTCTGTCACAGAAAGAACACATATAATCCACTGAGTCGTGTCCTGACAGAAGCAAGGCACAAGGAATGAGTTGGTTTTTTTTAGCACTTATTTTATGCAAATGAGCCATGTGGTTTTAAGTTTAGTTTCTGTAAAACTTAAACAAATATGCGCAAAGCTGTGTGGATAGGGAAGGCTTGCAGACACAGAAACGACGTGTCTGGATACGGTGATAGTGATTTGTTTCCAGTGTAAACATAACCTAAAGTTTACATACAACAACAAAAACTCACCTTCCTAAATTGCAAATCATCCCAAATAACCGAAAACAAAGCAGAACAAACATCAAACTTGTAATAAAGCTCCACTCTGTCCCTTCTCACCTCATTTCCTGTCAGGCCGTGTTGCATTCAGGGAAATTCTGTTTTATTCAGACGCTGCAGTGTGACCTTTGACCCCTTATCACCAGGACATAGGTAAACACTCTTTCAGACATTATTGAGTTGTGATGAAGGCTGAGACTGCGTTGACCCCTGAACTGCAGTTTATGAACACTTACGTTTTTTTGTTTTTTTTTTAATAAATGTCATTTCTGAGATGTTTTCTACAGATGAAATCATTTTAAATGTCACCATGGCGATTGGCTAGAGCGACTTAGTGTATTGTGTCTCAGTGTGAGGCATTTTCAGATTTTAAAGGTGCACTTTATAACTTTTCTGGTGTTGCTTGTCTACATAGAGATGCTAGTGCTTTAGCTTGGAATGTTCCACAATACGGCTTTACTGGGATTATAAATTTACCGTATTTTCCGGACTATTGAGCGCACCTGAATATAAGCCGCATCAACTAAATTTTAACACGTTTTTAAAATTGTACATATATAGGCTGCACCTGAATATAAGCTGCAGGTGTCCACGTCTTCAAGAGCGTTTTCAAGTTCGGGCTGTCTGCTTTTTTCGCCTCTAAAAGCTTTTGTCGTCTTTTTGCATTGTGTCAGTTCATCACTTTGCCGTAACCAAAATCTCACCATCGACTCTTTAATGCTGAGCTCACGTGCAGCAGCTCTGTTTCCTTCTTCCACAGCCACATCAGTTGCCTTTAACTTGTCTTTAAAAGCTGCATTATCTGCATTTCTTTGTGTATTTTCCATGAGGAGGGAGCGTGTATGAAGCGCAAAACAGCTGTTCAAAACACAATTAAACTCACCCCCGTCCCTCCCCAGGCTCTACTGTGCATGTCTCCTGCAGAAAGAGCCTCTGGCCTGTCTGTATCATGTCAGTGTCTTGGAGGATTTCAGCAGATTTCAGACTCTCTCGGGGGCGGGGTTAGTTCTATCAATCAGGTATGAGTGGATGTCCGGCTACTGAAGTTTGAGACGTTTCTTCTTGTCAATAAAACATACAGATAAGACGTATCCCTCTCACTAATGTTCATTTTGCATCGTAACTTATTTTATCACAAGATACAAACTGTTTGAGTGTGCTGACAATATCACGAACTAGTGTTGCAGCTTCATGTTAAAGGGATAGTTCGGATTTTTTGACATGAATCTGTATGTCACCCCCGTGAGCAGTGTCATGCATCCACACTGACTTACCCCCGAAAGTGTCCGGTGAGCCGAGATACTGGTCGTTTTCGGTGCTGACGAAAGAAGTTCGGCAAGTTGGCTGGGGACGCAGTGATACGAACGGAAAGAAAATAGTGCCAAGCGATTATGAGGTCTGACTTTTTTGAGGACGATGGTTTTGTGATGCAAATGTATCACTCTTTTGAACACATATTGTTTTGAGAAGAAACATTTTTTATTTTAATGTCCCCAGCCAACTTGCCGGACTACTTTCCTCAGCACCGAATACGGCCAGTATCTTGGCTCACCGGACGCTTTCGGGGGTAAGTCAGTGTGGATACACGACACTGCTCATGGGGATGCCATACAGATTTATGTAAAAAAAATCCGAACTATCGCTTTAACCCTAGATCCATATGTTACCCGCACAGACAGCTGTGTTTTCTGCACTCAGGCTGCGTGTATCCGCTGTTTTGCCAAACCATAGACCGTATAGATGCAAGGACAATGTGCCAAAAAAAGAATCCGTCCATATATTCGCCGCATCATTTTATTAGCCACAGAAAAAGTAGTTCTTATAATCTGGAATTTACGGTATCTATATCCATGGAGACAAGCAGATGACAGGATTGTAAAAAGGGAATACTTGAAGCTGAGTAAATAAAAGATAAAGAAAGATAAAGAAATAGATATGTTTAATGTCATACTGTGGAATTTTCCAGGCAACCCAATAACAAGCACATCTCCATGGAGACAAGCAGATGGCAGATCCTCCTCGAGAAAAGTTTCACAGTCCACTTTTTAGTCTTTCGGCAAATATGTTCCTTATTTGCATTGGAAATAAAAAATGATCTCTCTCTCAGCTCGGAAATCCAACTGAATATTTTTAGTTTTGTTTTTTGCACATATCACGGGCTGACTATTTCTTTTAAAACTTGTCTTGTTTTGTTTTATTTTGATGATATCATAATCTTAGCTGGTGGGCACGGGCCTGTTTATATTTTGCAGCTGATGGCTTCAACATTCCCTGGAGGTGTGATGCTAACTGGAAGCACTGCTCTGTTAGAAGCAAGTTACACTTAAACTGATCTTTATTTTCACACAGAAAGAGCTGACCTATGAACTACAACAGGTCAGATGATTTGTGAGCTTAAACAAGACTCTCACACATTAAATTACTGTCACAAACTAACTTATCATCTCATACCATGGTCAAAGCAAGAAAAATGATCCCACAAATGCTTTTTGCCGAAACACACTACTAGTCGAAAGTTTTAGAACATTCCAATTTTTCAAGTTATTTATTGCAGTTCAAGGCGTGCAATCCAATGAAGAGCTCGAAATGGTACAAAGGTAAGAACTGAACAGACAGAGGTTAAAAAAAAGATACAAGATACAAATCACAAGTCCAAGCTCTGCCAAAACTACCTCAGGAAAAAAGAACAAGATGGTAAAGCTTGAAAACATGGAGTGTCCAGCACAGTGTCCAGACTTAAACCCCATCGAGCTGGTTTAGGGATGAACTGGACAGAAGAGTGAAAGCCAAGAAACCTACAAGTACCACACATTTATGAGAACTTCTGCAACAGACTTGGGAAGAACTTTCTGAAGAATATTTGATTTCTATTGTAAAAAAAAAAAAAAAACGAGCCACGAGTGTGTTCAGCTGTTATATCTGCCAAAGGTGGACACTTTCATGAATCAAAAGTTTAGAATATGTTTTGGTCAACAGTGAACAGTAAAAAACTGGAAAAAGTGTGGTGTTCTAAAACTTTTGACTGGTAGTGTAATTAAAAAAATAAAAACGCTTTTATAGATTGGTCATCTGAATGTGCTATGCATTTTTTGTCACTTGTAAATTGCTGTTCCTTGCTTTTGCACCTCTTCAAGAACTTTGATGTGTGTTTTCTGCGTAAGTTTTCTGTGTTAGTCTCACCTTTTTGTTGAAAATCAAACACTTAAACAGGACCATGAACATGAACATTAATCCTATTGATGAGTTTTCAGACTACCTTAAAACATTTTGGGCAGATTTTGGCTATATTCAGACTGC